GCCACCTGGTCACGGGATCTATGGAGAAGGTCTCCATTTCCACAAGGGATGATGTTTCATCTCTCTCACTCTCTTCAAGAGCAAAAGGATGCTCGGAGTTGGCTCTCTTCCCCTGGGACTCTCAGTGGCCCTTCACCAAGGTGTGCAGGTGAGGTGGCCCCAGAAAGGTTTGGCTCCCGTTCTGAGAACTGTTCCCAGGTTCCCTCTTGTTCACTGGGAATGCGGCCCCTTTCCAGAGCTGCCTTTGGGGACACACCATTTCTTGCAGGGGTGATCGAGGCAAGATGCAAAGCTGGCAAGTCCAGACCTTGACCATTATTTGGGGGCACAAAATGCAAGAAGCCCCCAGAATGATAAGCAGAGGCACCTCACTAGGGGAAGAGGGGCATGGTCACTAATGGAAGCAGGAGGAGAGGGAGGGGGAGGGGGAGGCTGCGAAAACCAGGAGGAGGAGCAACTCAGAGAAGGAAGTTGAGGAGGGGTGCAGGGTGTGCAATCCTCTGGCCTTGAACCCAGCAAGCCCAAGCTGTGAGGAGGGTTGATTCCCCTCCCCGCTTGGGTCCTAAGAAAATGAAGAGCAATGTAAAGCATAAGGAAAAAGCAGACCTAATAAATCTCCCCCTCCCTCCTTCCCTCCCTTCCTCCTTCTCTCTTTCTCTCACTCACCCACCCACCCACCCACCCACTCACACACACACAGAGGCACCAAAAACACAGGCAGAGAACTGGCGGCTGTCTCGAAGAGTCCTCCCCCCCCCCCAAACCTAAGAGTCCTTCAGGTTTCACCTGTTAAGGTTGCCTGGCGGGAGATCCGCATTTGACCAGAGAGGTAGGGTGTGTGTGCGTGCGCGTGTGTGCGTGCGCGTGTGTGTCGCTCTCTCGCTCTTTAAGCCGGGGGTTTTAAAGGCGGCGAGGGGAATCCAACTGAGGGAGCGCAAAGAAAGTACCGGAGGGCGGGGGAGAGAAGTCGCCTCCCGCTCTAGAGAAGGGGAAGGGGCTCCCGCCGCGCCGGAGGAGGAAGGGCCGCGGGGATCCCCCTCCCACGCGCTCTCTTCCGCCCCGTCCCGGCCTCTTCCCGTGCCAAGCCCCGAGAGCCAGAGCTCTCTTCCCGGCGTCCGACCCTCAACCTGGCCAACTCCCGGAATCTCGTTCTAACTCGAAGCCCTCCGGGGTCAGGCGAGGGAGCCCGGGATCTCCCCTTGGGGGGAGTCAGTCAGCGGCCCCACTTTGCAGCCTTAAAGGGTTGAAGGTGGGGAGCGGGGAGCTGCGCGGGTTGTGAATGGAGCCCAAGGATGCTTACAACCCAGAGGTCTCCAAACTTAGCCGCTTTAAGACGGAAGCCCGCCCGCCTTCAAGTTGCCACGTCTGGGGACCTCTGTTATAACCCTTTGGAGAGGTAAAATCCTGAGCTCTGAGCCGCGCAATATTAGCCAATATTAGCTCTTTTCCTCGGTCTAGGAAAGAGCTCCCAGAACGGGATTCGCACTCCCAAGAGACGGCTGGCAGCTCTCAAGGGTTCCTACGTATAAAAACGAAGAAATAAGATTTCTCTTGAGTCAATGGCAGCTTCCCAGATCTCTCTGTGCCCCTGCTGAGAATGGCTTGAAGTGAAGGAGGGAACTCCTATGGCAACTCTAAGCAGTTCCTTGACTTGCGACCACAACTGGGCCCCCAGAATTTCCGTTGCTAAGCAAGGCAGCTGTTAAGTGGATCATGCCTGATTTTACCCCCTTTTTTTCCAGGTTTGATAAGGGAACCACTGCAGTTGTTAAGTGAACAATGTGGTTATTAAGTGAACAGGGCTTCACTTATTGACAGAAGCAGGTCAGAAATGGCCATTGCAGGACCCTGCAGCCACAGTAAATCCATGCCTGTTGCCAAGAGCCCAGATTTGGATCACATGATTATGGGGATGCTGTGATGGTGTCAGGTGAGGCTCCATTCAAAACCCAAGAAAGAAACCCTTAGACTCCACTGTTATAGAGAAAATAAACTTTTACTGGAAATCAAGTGCTAGTATCAAAAAAATTCAAGATCTGAGGCATTAGGCGCGAAAATCACATGTACAAAGTTATCCCATGTTCCCACCCACCATAGTTCAAACTGGCCATCCAATCTGAGATGTGTATAATGTCATGTGGGGCATCTTCGGGTGGTGATTCAGACATCTGTCCGTTGACCTTGGCCTGGATAGATAAGATGCTGCGGCTGCACAGTAAGCAAGTAAGCATAATAAACAATAAAGTTGTCCCAAGTGTTGCAGTTCACCATTTCAAGCCTCCAGCACTCTTCCCCTCCCCACAAATTAATCCTCCCTTCCCCCCGCCCCTTACTATGGCAGCAGGAAAGACAAGCAGAAGAAAGTTTCTTGAAGGTTGACAAATGGCCATAAGTGTGAGGACTGGTTGTAAGTCACATTTTTAGTGCGTTGTAGCTCCTGAAAGGTTGCTAAATGAGTGATTGTAAGTCGAGGACCTATAAGGTTTCAAAAATCTGAACTGTTCCAATGAATGCAAATGTCAGAAGTCTTAGTGCTGTTTTCAAGGGCAACTCCCCTCCCCGCTCCCCCCGACGTGGCCTCCAAAGGCTGATTCCCGAAGCTCAGGACCAGCGTTGTGATCCAAGGTGTAACCATCACAGTCAGAAAATTTGTCCCTGTCTGAAGGCTGTTACCATCCCATGTCCAATGGTGGTCACCTCAGATCACCTACCCAGACATTCAGGAGAAGATGTGTGTTAAATCCTTTTAGTTCTGAAGCAGAATTGAGAAAATTGTCCTTGGAGAGGATCCCCGCAGCGGATCCCCATGCAGGGCAAGGATCCCTGGGAAGGCTCTCCGGGTAGAGGGCTGCCCATCCTCAGTCTGAATGCCCACCATTTCTTTGGGGAGTTGGTTCCCCTGTCCAGCTGCTCTCCCGCCTAAGGAGGGGTTTCTAACGTACAGCTAGCAAGTCGTGAGAAAAGTCCCATACTTTACTACCCTGTTTCTCCAACCATACGGCCTCCTCCAACAGGAAGTCCCAGCATGTTTGATAGGCATGAAATGAAATTAAGCCCCTCCCCCCCAAATTAAGGCCTATATTAAAACATGCGAAATGGGGGGGAATGGCGGGGGGGGGGGCTTGCCGTTAGGAAGTACTTTTGTTGCACACCCGGATATGGTTCTGCCTGCGTTGACCCCGATACGAAGTGCCCCACCAACACCGAGGTCAACATCCAAGCCGTCGCCTCCTGCCCGCCTGAAGATGCAAGGGGGGGGGGAATTAAGTCACCCCCAAAAAGACGGCCTAGCCATTTTTTCGGGGCTCAAAAAAAAATAAGACCCGGCCTTATTATATGAGAAACACGGTACTTTTCAGAATTTCTCCCCTCTGCCCCCTCCAATAAATATCCATTCTTATGATATTTTCCTTGTGTAGAACAGAATAATAGAGTTGGAAGGGACCTTGGAGGTCTTCCAGTCCACCCCCTGCACAAGCTGGAGACCCCATACCATTCCAGGCCAGTGGTGTCCAGGCTCTTCTTAAAGGCCTCCTGTGATGGGTCACCCACGACTTCCGGAGGGAAGCTGGTCCAGTGGTTGATTGTTCTCCCTGTCAAGAAATTTCTCCTTAGTTCTAGGTTGCTCCACTCCTCGGATTAGTTGCCAGGCATTGCTTTGTGTTCTGAAAACTTCAAAAATAGGTTGGTAAATAGGTTGACCCCTGTTCTTCATGGTAGCCTCTCAAATATTGGAAGACTGCTATCATTTCACCCCTAATCCTTCTTTTCACTGGACTTAGACATAGCCAGTTCCTGCAACCGTCTTCATGTGTTTTAGCTTCCGGTCCTTAATCATTTTCGTTGCTCTTCTCGGTCCAGATCCTTCTGTATCTTGAATCGATCTTGTGGAATGTTGGCTACTCCTGACAGCTTGGGGTCATCTGCAAATTGGATGAGTTAATCTTTTATTCGCTCATCTAAATTGTTTATGAATCTGACTTTCTTCCTATTACTTAAATCTATTAGGCCAGATCTGGCTCTCAGAGACAATAGAGGACAAGCCAGGGACAAAAAATCAAATTTAGATTCACAGCTGGTTTTCTGACTGAGTTCAATTATGAATGTTGACACAAATGAGAATGGGGACAGGGGACGCCCTTTAGGAGGAAGCTGCCCTGAAGGCCGTGTGGTTTACTAAGACTTCCTCCCTCCCTCCACCCCCTTGTTTTGCCTTGAGTAGAGACTCCGCAGAGGGTGGGCTCTTCGTGACGGGCACCAAGGGCTCTCCGAATGTAGCTTCATTCCCGAGGAAATGGACAGGGCCCTAGGGAACATACGTGCTGGTGGAATAGGGATTCAGCCACCAGGAAGAGCTTTGGTTGGTTGGCGAAGGTGAGGGAAGCCATGGATTAGCTGGAGCCAGGGATGCCCTGGCTTACTCTAAATACCAGGGAAGATATTAGCTTCCAAGTCGCAAGTGGCTTTTCTTTAAGCCATCTTAGTGATCATCCTGGCTTCCTACACAGCAGCAGCAGCTGCAAAAAAAAAAAATAGCATCAATGGGTGAACATCGCTGTGGTGAATTGCTCCTCCAGTGACTGTAACAGGTGATCCTCAGTTTACAACCACAATTAGACTAGCATTTCTGTTGCTAAGTGAGTTGCAACAATATCACTTTTTGCAACACAAATAGTTGCAAGCCTATTTTGCCATGGTTGTTAAGCACATCGCTGCAGTTTTTAAGTGAATCCCATGGTGGCTAAGCGGATCTGGCTTCCCCCATTAACTTGCTTGTCAGAAGCCTGCTGGAGAGGTTGCAAGTGGTGACCCCATGTAACCCCGGGGACTTTGCAGCTGCCATCCATTGATGTCGGTGGGGAAGCTGCAAAGGTTGCAAATGTAAGGAGCAACAACCCTAGTAACGTTTTCCGTGTGGCTGTAACTGGAAATGGTTGCTAAAAGAATGGACGTAAGTTGGAGGATGACCTGTACCCTAGCCTCACCCTGCCTCCTTGCAGACAGCCCCTCCGCCCCCGTCAACGTCACCGTGAAGCTCCTGAAGGCCAACTCAGCGGTGGTGACCTGGGACGTCTTGGAAGAAGAAGTGGTCATTGGATTTGCTATTTCGCAGCAGGTAAGCCTCCTGGTTTCCTCTTCCTTCTGGGGTCCTCGGGGTGAATTCAGAGCTCCCCTCAACTGTCTTCAGCAGCCCCCACAAGAGAATGGCGGTAAAGGAGGCTATCTCAAGGAATCCCAGATTTCTGAGGGCAGAAGTACCGTTTGTTATGGTTCGTGCTAGTTCTGAGGGCCGTGTTGATTTTTAGGTTTTTATCAGTATCAAAGGAAGTTATTTTTTTTTCTTTTTGTCTACACTCCTGAATTTTGCTTTTTCCTTACCCTTCTATCTTTCTCTTTTATTCTCATTTCTTTGCTTTTTTTTGTATTTTATACTTTGGAAATTGAATAAAGCTTTTCAGAAAGAAAAAGGAAAGGCAGATTTCTAATTTTTTACCTGACGTCTTGAACTAGAACTAGGTTGAGGCTGTTCTTTCTTGGGCCTGAAGAGCAACACATGGACATTTGGGAGATTCTTGGTGCTCTCTGAGATTGGTCATTTTCTGGCAGATGTATATACGAACATATACAGATTAACAGAGTTGGAAGGGACCTTGTAGGTCATCTAGTCCAACCCCCCACCCAAGCAGACTCTGCACCATTTTTGACAGTCCAATCTCTTCTTGAAAGTCTCAAGTGATGAAGCTCCTACAATTTCCGAAGGCAACTTCGGTTCTATTGGTTCTGTTCCATTGGCTCTCACTGTCAGAAAGTTTCTCCTTATTTCTAGGTTGAATGTCTCCTTGTCCAGTTTCCATCCATCCATTATTCCTTATCTGGCCTACAGGCACTTTAGAAAATAGATTGACATGGCAATGGCATGGCAGCTCCTCAAATATTGGAGCACTGCTATCCTGTCTCCCCTGGTCCTTCCCTAGACTAGCCAGGCCCAATTCCTGCAACCATTCATCGTATGTTTTAGTCTCCAGTCCCCTCATCATCCTGGTTGCTCTTCTCTGCACTTTTTCTAGAGTCTCAACATCTTTTTTATAGCGTGGTAACCAAAACTGGATGCAGTACTCTAGGTGTGGTCTTACTAAGGCTTTATAGAGTGGTATTAGTACCTCCCTTGATCTTGATTGTATCCCTCTGTTAATGTAGTTTAGGATTGCATTGGCTTTTTTGGCTGCTGTTGCACACTGTTGGGTCATATTTAATTGGTTGTCCACTAAGACTCCAAGATCCCTCTCCCAGTTACTGCTATTAAGCCTGGTTTCACCCAGTGTATATGTGTGCTTTTGGTTTTTCTTGCCTAAGTGTAGGACTTTACTTTTCTCTCCATTGATTTTCATTTTGTTAGATAGGGCCCTGTGTTCAAGTCTGTCAAGATCCTTCTGGATCTTGAGCCTATCTTTTAGGCTGTTAGCTATTCCTGCCATCTTAGTATCATCTGCAAATTTGGTATGGTGAGTTCCCCTTCTATTCCCTCATCTAAGTCATTAATGAAGATATTGAAGAGTCCTGGGCCTAAGACAGAATCTTGTGGTACCCCATTGCTTACTTCCCTCCATGTAGACGTAGACCCATTAAGGACCAGTCGTTGAGTATGGTTTTTCAGCCAGTTACAAATCCATGTTTTATTACCCAACTACGTAATATCTATAGAATATTGATGATGTTACCTAGTTGGTAATGAAATGCCTGCAAGAAAATAACCAACCTCAGGAAGCACTAAGGGTTTGTTTCAGAGCCTTTCTCTCACCAAGTCGGGGTCTGGAGAAATATTTTTTTTTGGGGGGGTATGACTTCTAGGACAGTGCTTCTCAACCCTGACAACTTTAAAATGTGTGGACTTTAATTCCAGGAATTCCCATGGCTGGCTGGGAAATTTGGGGATTGAAGTCCACAAGATGCCCAGGTTGAGAATTCCTGCTCTCGGGAGAGGCCAGAGAGGAAACCCTCTGGCTCCTTCCATGGGACGGGGAGAAGCAGCCAGCCATCGGTTGGGAATCTGTCCTGTCCTGTCGTCCTCCTTCTCTCTGCAGAAGAAGGACGTGCGAATGCTGCGTTTCATCCAAGAGGTGAACACCACCACCCGCTCGTGCTCCCTCTGGGACCTGGAGGAGGACACCGAGTACATTGTGCACGTCCAGTCCATCAGCATCCAAGGCCAGAGCCCAGCCAGTGAGCCAGTCCACTTCAAGACCCCGCGAGAAGCAGAGAAATTGGCTTCTAAGAACAAAGGCAAGCGGGAGGGTGGCTGAGGCAGGGCGGGCTTTGGAGAGGGGCAAGCTTGGCAAAGTTGCGATCAACCAAGAGGAAGCCAGGATGAGCCTCAGCTGCCCAGTTAGGCCAGGCCTGTGAAACACTGTGGGAACCAGGGGCAACCTTGGCCCTTGAGGGCTGGCACAGCTGACCCCAAGACTGGCAAAACAAGGGTGGAAAATAATGTTTAATGTAATTCAGCTTAATTTTAGCAGCTAACGCAGCAGACTAGAAACTGGGTGACTGTAAATTCAACCCCACCCCACTCAGGCATAAAAACTGGCTGAGTGACTTTGGGCCACTCTTCTCTCAACAACCCTCCTCCTCACAGGGTTGTTGTTGAGGAGAACATAGGAGAAGGAAGGAGTAATATATATGTTTAATTTTATTTATATGTGAGGAAGAGATAAAAATACAACAGCAGTCATAGTTCAGTTTGCATTTCCATTTATCTATAGTTCAAACCCAATAACTGAACCCAGTTAAATCAAGTTAATCTATTACATGTCTCATAATTGCCTTTCACATTCGAAATTGGAATTTAAGCCTTATTTTAGGGGAGATTTGGGGGAAGTCTTAGATTCTACCCTCAACTTTCAGTGGAGAAGGTTGTAGGCAGACAAATGAATTGCTACCTCATTCAGGAAAAGGAAAGCACTTTTCTCAGAGACCTTTAAATTCTGCTGGCACAGGAAAGACAAACAGAAATCTCATTTCAGTTCAGCTGGAAGCCAGGAGCAGCTGTAATTAACGACCCAAAATGAGTCTTTCTGGCAAATGTTCAGCCATCAGCCCCGCCCCCTCAGCCTGCCAGGGCTGCTGGGGTTGCCTTCCTTCATCAAGCACCTGTTGTAGATCAGAAAACAACTTGCTGCGTTTCCCCCAGGCGCTCAGCAACCCCACGATGGCCTGGCACAGGGCAAGGGCAGATGGCACACCTGCCACCCTGCTAAGAGGAGCTTGGTGGTTTGGAGGGCAGGGGAGGGGGGAGACGGGACAGAGGCCCTGGGAGAGAAGAACATCCAGTCAGAAATGCACAAGGGGTCAAGCATTGGGGCAAGTATGGAATGGGAAAACTTGCTGCTGCTGCTGCTGCTAAAATCCCCCCCTCCCTCTCCATCTGTGGACTCATCTACCAAAAGAGGAGGAATAAGTCATGGGCAGTTCAGTGGCCTGTTCTCAGGACCTCCAGAGCAAACTGCAAAAGTCTCTTTTGGCTACCTTGCAGAAAACGTAAGGACTGTCAAGCCCAGAATTTCCAAAACCATTTTTGAAATCCTAGCTTAAGGTTGCTGAAAGGCCGCAAGCTAGGAATCAGGAGGTGGTGAGTTCTAGACCTGCCTGAGGCAGGAAGACCTTAGACCAGTCCCTCTTTCTTGGCCCTAGGAAGCTGGGGACACAAACTATGTCTGAAATCTGGCCAGGAGAACTGAAGGTGATAGTCCAGGCACTTATCAGGAGCCTGACTCGAAGGCCTAAATATATATATACATATTTAGAATAAAAAGCAAAGGTGGTCTCAAATATTTTGCAGCAGAACTATGCCATTCTCAATGGCTTTTATTCCTCATTTACCCAGATGCACACAAGAAGTTCACAGTCCTTCCTGATGCTTTGGGCCAGGAATTGCTCTGTTGCTGAATAGATAGGTGGTTTTCAAGCCCTCCACAATGTGCTCCTTGTATTGTAGTTGTGATGTTCAGAGTATCGTATGTAAAAAAGATCCTTTGGGTGAAACACATTGTTAGGGAGGAAAACTCCATGTTTGATTTGTAAAATGTTTAACGTGTAATAAAAGAGTAGAAGACAGGACAAGCTTCACCTGTCATTCTACGCAGCTTCTCAGCAATACTTATACCATAAGGCCCTTCAAGGGGAACCTGCTCTCCCCACCTGGAGGCTTTTGTTGTGGAAAGTAGTCTGGATTCCCAGCCCAGAGAGGCTGCATTCCGCAGGAGCAATAGGCAGAGATGGGTTGGTTAGGAGAAAGAGAGCCAAGATGGCGCCTCCCTAAGGATCCTCAGGGTATAACTGATATGCTTTAGTTTGGCAAAATTTATGCTGGGCCGCCAGAACCGAGAAAGACATATAGGATTATTTCCAAGCAGTTTCTTTTATTATTTCTCACCTATAGACAGAAATATCACCAAACTAAAGCAACTGCTTGCATCATTAAATGGATATACTCTGATATTTTCTAGGGAAGGTCTGGCTTGACCCTCTTTTTCCCAACCAAATCAACATCTAAACTGTCTCTGGAATGCAGCTCTTTCCTCCTGGCCATCCAGATTACATCTCACCACAGCTGTATAAATGTGTAGCCCTCATAATTCCCTGCCAAGTAAATGATTATGGACATTGTAGTCTTCTGCATGATCTGCATGATGAATATGACTACAGAATTCTTGGATTTGATGTCCACACATCTTAAAATTGCCAAGGTTGGGAACCCCTGCGATACCAGGAGGACGTCAAGCTCAGAGGTGGAGCAAACATCTCTGAAGGCTCTTCCTCTCTCCCTGGCTAGGCTGCATCCACAAACCTCCTGGGAGGTTTTGAGCCTACATTTATTTCTCAACAGGCCTTGGCTTAGCCCTTGTTTAGAGGAGATGAGAGGCATGGTGGCTTAGTGACTTGAAGACGCTGGATTTGTTGACCAGAGAAGGTTGGCTCTCCAGCAGTTCAAGTCCTATGAGGCAGGGTCAGCTCCAGTCACTCACCTCAGCTCCTGCTCACCTAGCATGCAAAGGTAAGTAGATGGATAGGTACCATTCCGGTGAGAGTAAGAAACTGGCCTGGATGCAAGATGAAAACTGGTGGAGAAAAAAGCCCTGGAAGACCCTGATGCTCCCACAGAACCCCTTAGTTGCTCTGTGTGCGGAACGAATTCACTCTCTAGGTGCACTCTGGAGAGTGTGCAAGTGTGAATTGAACAAATTAATAATCTTAGGCAGCCAAACCACTACTCTGTAATAATGTTGTAGACTCCTGGCTTTCATGTATCCACACCATACGCTAAATCAATCAATCGGGACAACATCCCGATGGGTAGATGACTTTTCCTCTGCTTCCTTCCTCTCTGTGCAGATGAAGTAACAATGAAGGAAATGGGAGACAAAAATCAACACCTGCGAGCCGGCGAAATCCTGATTATCGTGGTCGTCTTGTTCATGTGGGCAGGTTGGTGGGAGTCCCTGCGAGGGTGTGAAAGGCGAGGCAGGGGGACTCCAGGTCTCAGTCGGGGACTGCTGGGCAGGCTCTGGTCCTGAAGATACGTAGTGATGTGCAGATGTGATGGCCATCAAAATGGGTTAGGAAAAGTTCTACATGCTTTTCGGTTCCGAAGGAAGCAGAATAGAATATGCCAGGGAGGTAGTGAATTGTGCAAAATATTATTTTTCACAAACAGGAAGCACTTATGAATATCAACCAAAAAGTTTGCTGCAGAAAATGGGCAGAGGGAGGGATTCAAAAATCGTGGCACTGACTGCTGGATTCAGCTTGCTAGTCCGAAGCAGAGCATCTTCTAGAGATCTTGCTTGACTCACAACGCCTGCCTGAGGGGATGGTTGTGGCTAGAGGGGCCTCTCAACAGTGCAATGTGGTGTGCCAGTTGCCTCCCTTCTGGACGGCGAGGCTACTCACAGTCGCTCCTCCTCTGGTCACACCCATAGAATGGACAACGGTGGCATGCAGTGCTGAGGCTGCCCTTGAAGAGCGCCCAGAAGCATCAGCTGGTGCAGAATGAGGCCGTTATGTGTGGGCCCTTGGAGGGAGCATGTGACACCTGTGTTCTGTGAGCTACATTGGCTGCCTGGTTGCTTCTGGGTCGCATTCAAGGTGCTGGTTTTCATTTTTAAAGCTCTACTTGGCCTGGGTCCAGATTGGGGGACCTTCTCAACTTCCCTGGTGACAGCGACCTGGTCAAGTCAGTGGGGTGTGCCGTGGGTCCCACCCGCAAAGCAGCTCCGTCTGGTAGGATCTAGGTGGCGAGTTTTTCTGCTGTGGCTCCTTCTCCCTTCGTTGCCCCCCCCCCCAGATCCCGTCTCAGTGGCCCTTAAAGCATTTTTTTCATCGGCCCCCTGGGTCCCATGGGGAGGCTAGCAGGGACTTATTTTCCTTCAACCTCAGGCTTTTATTATGTTTATTTATGACTGGCTGTTTTGGATTGCTGTGTAGTTTTTAACGGTTGCTATATTTGTACACTACCAGAATCATATCTTTGTAATTTTATTAAAGAAGTTTTTTACAAGATTAAAAGATAAACAGAAAACAATATAGAAAAATATAAATGGATAAGTGTTGAAAACAAAGAAAGAAAAAGGGAAAAGAAAATAAGCTACTTCCAATATTTTTCACAGCAGTTATAGACATACTTGAAACAGTTTCATCCAAATTATATAACACTGTAACTTCTCCCCATATTCAACCTTATTAATTGGTAAATCCAGGTGATTTTTTATCATTTTCAGCAAAATGTTTATAAAGTGTTTCCAGTCTTTGATAAAAGTAGTTGTTGTAGACTCCCAGAGTCACATCCTTGCAAGATGGGCAGATATATAAATACACTAAATAAAATATTTAGCTTTCTGTTGACATCACTTTCTACCTCTGTTAAAATAATAAAAAATGTGGAAGACTAGAGGGGATGGAGGCATAAATAACTGGGATCCTAAGAATCGCTAGGACCATGCATTCTGGGTAGAAATGGTTGGACCCTCTGACTGCGTTAATGCTCCTGTACCTCCTTAATTCCAGTGTGTGAGGCTGCCAGTTTCAATGGAGAAAAAAATGCCCTCTAGTAACCAATGCAAGTAAAAACACTACATAGGAAATGCAACTTTTAAAAATTAGAGAAATTTTGCTCCCGCCTAAGCTCAGGGCGAGTCATGTAAAACTTTGCACACAGCAAAGTAATACAAAATACATGTAATACAGCAGGCAGACTTCTCTGCTCAGATTCCTTAAGGCAGGAGTCCCCAACCTCTGGGCTTTGCCCCACTTCTGGGCTGTGTCCCATTCAGAACCAGCCTGTGGAAACAATGGGCAAGCACATGCATGCTCACCTCTCACTCATGCAGAACCATCCCCTTCCACCACCATCCACAAAGCCTTAAGGGAAAGTGGACTGGATTGACCATTCTGATAATGCTTCAAGCGCCAGCTTCTCATGAACTTGACTCCCCAGAAGCCAAGAAGGGCTGGACTCTGAGTTGGAGACCACTAGAAAAATCCCAAGCTAGTCAGAGGAGGAGGTTGAAACAACCACCTGAAAGAAAGAAAGCGTTCACCATTTTTATACTCCTGCCAAAGGTCCATGAGGGCACCAGGAGTCAAACACAAGCACTTTGCTTGGTTGACTTTATCTCGGCTTAGAAACTAGCCATGGCTACACCTAATTAATATTTGAATGTGAGCTTTCTAGAATAATCTGGAGCTACAAACTGACATTGTGACTCCTAAAACTTTCCAAGAAATTGCACCCAGTCAATTGTTTATTCATCACTCACTTTATGCAGCCTGAGCTTCAACCTGCTCTTCCCCGTTCATACCTTTATAGTGTCCAGACACCAGATGAGCTTAATCAAGGGTGCCACTTACAACCTTTCCTGGCCATTAACAGGAAAATAAAGAACCCATTCATGCAGACAACATGTGTGAAGGTAAAATTGCTCTGGGATGTTGAACGATCGCCAAAGAGAAAAAAGGAGTCACTAAATCACAGGGGGGAAATCTGCTTTCTTGCCAGCTGTGGAATTCTGGAAGTTGAGAAACTGTGATATAGATGGATGAAAATCCAGGCTCCATCATTGCAAAACTCACTGTCAAGACCAGGCACACATTTCCTGGCTACAGTACCTAAACCAAGCCTACTGGAATTTGCTTGGGCCAAGTTGGGAAGCCTTGCTAGAATTCTCTTGGCACAAGAGCTTCTGGGCTTCTTGTCACATTCCCTGTGAATCCAGATATAAATATTGTATTCATCTCCACCATTATCAAGGTCAGTTGCTTTGCAGGTGCCCAGAGATTCTCCTGTCTAGATAACATGCTGTCCTATGCCGTAGGTCATTTTTAACAAGATGGGGCCTTTCATTGGATGGTTGTGGTAGAATATAATACATTTACTTTAGGGGCTCCACAGATAACAGGGGTTTGAACTATAGTCCAAAGCACAATAGACAGGAAGTATTTGATGGAAGCTTCTCAAAGAGAGAAGCAACCTAAAATAAGGGAGAACTTTCCTAAGAGTGAGAACAATCAGTCAGTGGAACAGGGGGTTGGACTAGAAGATCACTTCTACCTCTGTTATTCTATGGTTCTATGCTAGATCAACTTCTAGAATTTGCACCCAGCTTTTGTGAATTGGGGAAATTTGTAGAAGAGACCTGGAGGTCCAAGATGAGCCACTTCCACGGACATTAGGCAATAATTGAGACAGCACCAATAATTGAGAAAGCACCTGGGGGGGCAGGGGACAAGCAAGTGCCTGCAATGCTTCAGGTGCAAATGGAAGACACAGATCTCCTTACTGCGGGAGGAGTAGAAAGTGCATGATTTTGGAAACCAATCATGGTTCACCTTCAACTGTGTTTTCCTATTTTTAGTTTATCTACAAATGTGCACAGTACTGAAATATTCACCCCGGGCATTAGCATTAGTTTTCTTCTAAAATAAACCAAACCTTTCTGTCCATTCAGCCCTTGAAGAAATTACTTGCCTATTTTCCAGCCTATCTCACTTTACCAATTCTATAATCAATTGCAATCCAATATTAACAATCAGCAAATGCAATCTATGCAATCTCTCAACTTTTGCAACTTTTAAGACATGCTGGCTGGGAAATTCTGGGAATTGAACCCCATACTTCTTAAAGTTGCCAAGGTCGAGAAATACCAATTATAGTATCCGTCAATACCTCTCTGTTTAATTGGCAGCCGGCATCCAACTTTCTTTAACTGAATCCCACAGGTTGTGCTCAACCAGGCATAGAAGCTGTGAATGCTGAACTGATCCATTATAAAAACAGGAGGGGGAACCATTTTTAAGGGAAAATTGTGTAGGAAGATCAGTGGGAGTTGGCTTTAGGTGTTCATGAATAAAGCAGTCTTAGATGAATTGTAAAGGAAGGAAGTCTAGATAGATCTGCCCCTAGTAACAAAAGGTTGATTTAGCTGCTTTTACAAGTCAATGGTATCATTTGAACCACAGTATAATTCATTAGTCATTTTCTGAATCCTAGATAAAATCTATCTTTATGTGCTAAGAATCAACACTTATGACACATAATCAGGTATGGAATTATAAATAATAAATTTGAATTCTCCAAGAAGTTACAGAGTTGCTATTCACAATAATATTTATAGATGGTCAGCTTGATCATTTTGATCTGGCCACTTATTTTTCTTCCCACACTGCCAAGTTTGAGAAAGCGCTTGCCCAAAGCCAAAAGAAGTGAGCTTGGGAGATCAGACTTTGGCCTCTTTCCTTTTATCAGTTTTTTGGCTACTCAGAATGATCTCTTTGCCTCTGTCTCTCTGGCTTTTTATTCAAGTTCTGCCGGCTGAAAGAGATATGGACTTCAACTCCCATAATTCCCCAGCCAGCATGGATTCCGGGAATTGAAGTCCACACCTCTCCAGGTGGGCAAGATTCAGAAACAAGGCCGAGCCAAATTGCCAAACATTATTTAGTAGGGGGAAAAAGCTGTACCTTGCTTGCTTTCTATAATTAGCCTCAGCCAACATCCCCAGCTCCCTTTGACAACTGCTTTTGTCTCTCTGCACTATATAATATTTGTGAATGCAAAAACACTCTGAGAGATTAGAAATTAATTGCTTAGGTGAAATAAACATGCAAAAAAATGTAATTGACATCCAGCTGGGGACAGGAAAGGATTACTCCTTTTTTTTTTCCTTCCTCCACCTGAAAAGCATTTTGCTTTATTTTTCTGCCAGGCACACAGACTCAATTTATATGAATGTGAGACGAAGCGACCTGGTGAGCTGACTTTACAGTTGAGAAAGTAGGATGCAACCTTCTGTGGTAGGAAAGAAAAGCTGGAATAGCCAACCATATTTAGACCTTAAAATACCACTTATTGATGTAAATATTGATTGTACTTTGAGACTTAGCAGAAGTGGTGCATCCATGATTTAATCGGCCACCTGACAGACACAGAT